TTGTTGTGGGATGACAAGTCAGATTCATCTAATACTGATAATAGTACAATCCCAGCTTCGAGTTTGGAAGTGAAAGAAGAACCAAATCAGATTTGTGATGATGATTTTACAAGAGATAGGACTAAAGATGGTTGTTCAAGATGTGTTGAACAAGAGAATTATCCTTCAGCAAGAGAGGATCTTTGTTTCGATTCGCGGTTAAAGAAAAAGAGGGGGAAGATTTCAAAGAGTAAGTACAGAGGATTAGCAAAGAAATGGGAAGAAAATCAGAGGAGGTGGCGGTGCGAATGGGATAGGGAAAGATTAGAGCTTGATAGGAGATTGAAGGAGCAGCTGAATGGAAATGGTTCTAATGGATCAGGATCAGTTAATCATGCAGATGTATTGAAAGCTCTTTCTCAAGCATTGAAGAAAACAGAGGAGGCATATTTAGATCTAGCTGATAGGATGGTTATGGAGAATCCTGAATTAGCTTTGATGGGTTCTTGTGTTCTTGTTATGTTAATGAAAGGAGAGGATGTTTATGTGATGAATGTAGGAGATAGTCGAGCTGTGTTAGCTCAGAAGAAGGAGCCTAATCTCTGGAGCCAAGATTTGGAGCGGATCAATGAAGAGACTTTGAATGATCTTGAGCTTTTAGATGGTGATGAGTCGAACAGTATACCTAATTTAACTGCTAGTCAGCTTAGTACAGATCACAGCACATCCGTGGAAGAGGTATGCTAATCTAGTTTTAGGTTTTAGATGTCTTTTAGGCTTATAAAGTTCTTTGTGATCTATCCTTGATAAAAAATAAAAAAAATCCTTTTTCCCGATTGATTGGTTAACTTGATTTGTTATGTTGTGTTTCAGGAAGTTCAAAGAATAAGAAGTGAACATCCAGATGATGCATGTGCTTTGATGAATGACCGCGTGAAAGGTTCTTTGAAGGTTACCCGGGCTTTTGGTGCTGGTTTCCTCAAGCAGGTACTATGGAATATTAGCTTTTCTAGCTTGTTTACAAGTCAACCCTTGAGAATATAGTGGGGAAAAAAGATGTGTTTTTGATTCCCTTTCTGCTTGTGAAAGAATGCTAGCTTTATTCACACCATATTTCTCGAATTGATATTTCTTGTTGAGAACAAAGTTTATGCTTTTTCATAAACCTTTTCAACACATGGCAAAAGCTACTTTTCTCTCTAATTTGAAGGCATATTCGGCAAGATGTTACTTGTTAGCATCGTTGTGTTGTTCCTGTGATCAAACATTTTGCATTTAGCAACTTCTTTTGCTATTCACCTTAAAAGCATGGACAATTTACTTCCAATTTTTTTTTTTGTCTAACGATTAAAAAACAGAACTAAAATTTGAATGTTTCTTCTTTCACTTCTGAAGTGCCATTTGCTGGCTACAGGACATTATGCTAAAGGTTCAATTGGCATCTAAAATACAATGCTCTTTTCTGTTAAGGACCTATTGGTTGTTTGCTATCAGAATGTGATGCACCCCTTAATCAGATTAATACTGGTTAAGAACTTATAAACCACAACAGAATAACTGTTTTATCCCCAACAGCATTATAGTTTGTCAAACACCATTATCATGTTAGAGATAGTCGAATTGCTGAATCAATTCTAACATATCCTCTGCTTTTGACTCTTTACTTATGCTCGACTATATAACTAACTTTAAACTGCTCACTCTCCTGCAGCCTAAATGGAACAATGCGCTTCTGGAGATGTTCAGAATTGATTATATTGGAACTTCTCCCTACATCAGTTGTCTACCGTCTCTCCAGCATCACAGATTAGGGCCGAGAGACAGGTTTTTGATACTGTCATCTGATGGGCTTTATCAGTACTTCACAAATGAAGAAGCTGTTTTAGAAGTTGAACATTTCATCTCATGGTCACCAGATGGAGATCCTGCACAACATCTTATTGAGAAAGTATTGTTTCGCGCGGCCAAAAGAGCTGGTAATTACTTTTACATATGCAAAATGCTTGAATTGGTCCTAGGGGGGGGGAAGATGTAATTTATCAGAGAACTAGTCTGAAGTCTGAACTGTGTGATTGTGTTTCATTTCAGGTTTGGAGTTTCACGAGTTGCTTGAAATTCCACAAGGGGATAGACGCCGGTACCATGATGACGTTTCAATTATTGTTATTTCTTTGGAGGGGAGAATATGGAGATCCAGTGCATAAGTAGGAAAAAAAAGTTAAGAAGATAAAATGGTATAGAGCTATTCAAAATGACAATCCAACATCCAATTTTTGTTCTTTCCTTGTCACCATTTTGTAAAATAGCAGCTAAGCCCTGGAACCAGTGATGTCTTAGTTGTAAAATGTACTGGTGATGGGATTGTAAAGGTGTTTACATCAACTTTTTGTCCGTTTATAAGCTGTCATATAAATTGTAATTTCTCTAATAAATGACATCTCTAAGAAATTACAGAGTGTTCTCCAAAGTTTTCAATTTCTGTACTCAGGTCACCATTCTTTGTTCAACTTGCAGCAGCCTCAATATCACATCTTTTGCATGTTATTTATTGCATTTCCCATAACTCATAAACAAGGTTTAGAGTCTTTTTGATTATAAAAGGAAGAAGAAGAATTTGTACGTCTTTTTCTACTGCCTGGCTTTACAACTTTTGACTATAATAATTGTCTGGTCTGTCTATTATTAACTCCCGTGTTTCATGTGACTTGAATTCTGTTCAAAATCTTTTGTTCTTTTCAATAGATAGGCATACTCATTCTAAATGACTTGTGCAAATTAAAGTCAGCACCTAAAGTAAGTCAAGTCAATTAATTAATTCTCCTTAGTCTTAACGACGCGGCATGCAATCAATTTCTTATCTGCTTTTTTGTTCTGGTGTTTTTGTCAATTTTTCTTTGTCATTCTTACGTGGATCAAACTTAATATTCCTGATATTTGAATTTTCTACGTATATACTTTCTTTTTCAACGATAATGTCAAGACGATATTTTTCGATGTATCTGCTATTTCTCAGCAATAGGTTTTCAATAACTCTTTCTACTAAAACTTACATAGATGAGAAGAAAAATATTTAGCATTGTTTGGCTCTGTTAGAATTGAACCCTGACCTGTTACGTATGTATTTATGACTTCCTGAGCTTTTTTATAACCACCAACTCTGCATGAAATAGGAATGGCCAAGCTGAGTCAGAGAAAAACATAGCAGGTTCAGAGCTATTCTGGGTTATGTAATCATCCCTTATGGCTAACTGCTAACCAATCTTTTAATTTGGGTAGTAAATGCAAAATGCAGTTGGGTGGGAAGATTGAGTATTAGTAGTAGTAGTAGAAGAAGAAGGAGTTGGAGTATCAAATTCATCAACAATAAATAAGAAAACCTGTCATTTTGTCATAAATTTTGGGGCCAACATTTCAGGTATGTAGATGCTAACTTTAGTGATCAATCCTGAAACTTAGACAAATATTTCAAAATTCAGTTCCTTGCATTAAATAATGTCAACTGAAACCCCTTGATTTTTTTTGTAAATTTATGGCAGATCGTGTATGAGTTGAAATACTAGCTAGCTAGGAACTTTTGGCTTGGGATTAATTTTATGGATGAAAAAATTGCACGTCTATGGTCCATCATTCTTCTAGTCAACGTTTGTATACAGGAAATTTTGAAGGTTGAAGCATCTAGATAAGGATTTAGCTTCAAGCAATTGAAGAATCACTTTAAAAATAAACAAAAATTGATTATTGAATTATAAAAACTACACTTTATATCTTCAAATTCAACATATTCACGAAGCTGGACAGACTTGATAAGAAAACATTGAACGTGGACGATAATAAGTATATGCATATTTTAAATGTGCATAATTCCATTGATAATCTCGTTTCAGATATTAGGAAATTTTTTAGCTGTGTGATTGCCTGGTTGGTATGGAAGATATTTTTCAAAAAATGACTTACTTTCTGGAAAAGAAAATTACGTTTTCTGAAAATGACTTCTTGTGGTTGTTTGGAAAGTCCAAATATTTTTCTAGAAAAAAAATAATTTATCAATTCTAATAGTGTTTTGATAAGACTTTCTAATATCAGAGATTGATATTTTGCGTCGTAACAAACACGCGAGAATCCAGCTTCCTCTTTCCACATTGTTTTTGCAAGAATTTTCACCCGAAGTTATTTTTAAGGATCGATATTTAATTTTTGTCTTGTTAAGAGAAGTTGTTCAAAAAAATATCCGTCAGAATTTAACCTCCACCTCCTCCTTTTTCATCTTCTTCATATGTGTTGTGTTGTATAAATTGAAGACCCATTGGACATTGTGGACCTTGATTGTTGAAAAACAACAACAAAGTGAACCTATTGATTTTTGAAGGTTTGTCGAACTGAACCATATATTAGAAGTTGATATCAAATTCGGAGTTGATTTAGACAAATTTGGATCAATTTTGAGCAAAAACATGTTGATAAATCCATTAGAAACTCCTAGCGATCCACTAGAATTTATAAATAATTTGTTCTAAAATTACAACACAATATGTACTAAACTTTCGATGATTTGCCGGAACTCGTAGTAAGCACATCTATCAAAAACTCCTCGTAATCCGCCATGACGTATTGGTGATCCTTCCTGAGTTATGGTAAGGGAAATGAACTCTAACTATTGACCCAAAAGTTATTTTCGCCCGAACTTATTTAAACGAGGCAAAACTTATATAGTGACACGAAAATAGCTATTTTTGTAGATCTTCGGTTAGGTTCAAAAATCAAGTTTGGCAACGGATTTTAGTTTGGAGGCATATGACAGAAGTTACTACTAATAGAGCTTGAATAAAAAGGTGGAGGCCGAATACGGTATTGGACCCTATATTTGGGCATTGCATACCCCATGAAACAAAAGGAGAAGCAAAAGCTATAGGGAAATTGACAGAGAGAGATTGACAAAGTTAGCCGCTCGTCAAAAATTATAAACAATCGTTAGCCCACGATTGCACATTACAACTTGTAGTCAAAAACAAATAAATTATGTTAACCAACATTCCTTTTTCCCGTTTATACTATTTACAAGAGGTTAAATTCTCATAATACTTTTTTTTGGCCTATAAATCCTCATAATACTCGGTTATATTTCCAGAATGGTAACTACTAACTATGTCTGGATGAAAATAGAGATACGATAAATTTAACTACTTCAAATTAAATTTATCAAGCCAACTGTCAAAGAAACAATCTTACCATCTTTTCTCTTTCTTTTTTTTTTTTTCCTTTTGAAAAGAATTTTGATCCAGAATCTATTCCAGTATTTATTAATCTATTATATTATGTCAATCTTGTTTTGTTGAAAATGGTTAATAAATAACAGAGTAATAATGACATCTATTATATTATGTCAATCTTGTTTTCTTTCTTGGAAACAAATCATTCACCCAAAAAATAATTGTAATAAAAATCAATAATACAAACTTTCGGCACTTCTTTTCGGGCCAAAACTCCAAAACTTTCTTTATTCCACCACTTTCATTTTTATTTTATACAAATTTTTATCTTGCCTTACAAAATTTTCCTGGTTCAATTTATATATTTTTTCACAGATTCTATAATCTTCACAACTCAATTCTTTTGTTTAATTCACATTGTTTCTCCTTCTTCACAACAACAATCAGAATGGATGGTGACACTGTATAATTCAGTGTATACTGACTAAGTATATTGTGTAATAAGTGTATGCTAACTAAGTATACTGTATAATAAGTGTATACTTAATGTAAACTCACTGAATATATACTTCTTATACATTATATATTAAGTATACATAAATTCTACACTTTCTATACAATAATTTTACATGATACACTTTTTGAATTGTAGAAGTTTTATGATTGTTCTTTTTCAGAGAACTATGCATAACGTTGAAATATATACTAAATAGACTGTCACTATACAATTTATATATAATAAACTGTAACTATATAAAATATATACCAAATAGACTGTCATTATACAAAAAATATACTAAATAGACTGTTACTATACAAAATATATACAAAATATACGGTCACTATATAAAATATATACAAAATTGACTGTCACTATATAATTTATATATAATAGACTGTCACTATACAATTTATATACAATAGATTATCACAATATAAAATATATACAAAATAGACTGTCACTATACAATTTATATACAATAGATTATCACAATATAAAATATATACAAAATAGACTGTCACTATACAAACATTATACAAAATAGACTGTTACTATATAATTTATATACAATAGACTGTCACTATACAAAATATATACAAAATAAACTGTCATTATACAAAAAATATACAAAATAAACTGTCACTATAAAAAAAAATATACTAAATAGAATGTCACTATACAAAATATATACAAAATAGACTGTCACTATACAAACATTATACAAAATAGACTGTTACTATATAATTTATATACAATAGACTGTCACTATACAAAATATATACAAAATAAACTGTCATTATACAAAAAATATACAAAATAAACTGTCACTATAAAAAAAAATATACTAAATAGAATGTCACTATACAAAATATATACAAAATAAACTGTCACTATAAAAAAAAATATACTAAATAGAATGTCACTATACAAAATATATACAAAATAGACTGTCACTATACAAAATAGATATTTCGGGCTATTAGATGTGATATGTTTGGGCCGGAGGCACATTTTGTGTAAATGGGAAAAAATATGGGGTATTAAAATTTTGAGGGGCTATAGAGGGTCATTTACCCAAATTGACACATCGGTATACATGATAATACGATATACAATATGATATACATATATGACATGTCCCTCACACACCACTTCAATCCAACAGAAAAAAGAAGAGAAAAGGAAAAGAAATTTGAATTATGGTTTCTGCTATTCCTTCTTTTTTTTCTTGTTTTTTTTTTTTTAAGGAGATACATCTTGGAGGAGTTGCTCAATTAATGAAAACTGGTTAGGAAAGTCCTTTTACTTTATTTTGTAACTAAAATGTCACTCAATTTAGCCCCCTGTTAGAAACGTCATTCTAAGGGTTCGACCAATTGATATGTTTCCACAAATAATTGAAATTTAATTTTTTGATATGTATCTTCAATTTTTGGAAACTTATAAAGTTCTTCCGTCAAACTTTGATCAATGAACCTACAAAATCCTTCAAATTGTATCTTATTAAATCCAGGTATTGTAGATATTCCCTGGATTGGATTTAGTCAGCCTCACAACATAATGAGAGTGAGGCTTTGGTTACCGGCAAACGACAGACCCCTAACCTAAGAGTTCTGGTTATGACCAGCCAAAAACAGGCCCTCTAGATGCCTTATAACCTCCGCGTTCGAACATTGGTTGATCTTAGCTTAGCATGCTAGCCGCTGCTTCGGTTGGGTAGAAAAGAAAAATGCCAAATATCTTTTAAACGCATAGAATGACTTTTC